GATTGTTGGCGCATCTTTATAGTTTCAAGACGCGTTTGCAATTAGCGAGGCAGCTAAGCGCAGCATCTGCGTTAAGTTGACCCTGCCCTCTCCCCCATCTCCAATGTCTGTCAGAGAAAACATGATTGGGGATGAAGTTAGTGTGATGCAGTCCTCACTCAACAGATGCTCTGATATCACATGCATAGAAGAGGTGCGAAAAAGACCGTGGTAACGGGTCACTGGGGTCAGATCCGCGCTCCAAAGGAGGACTGGGTTGTTTCATCGGCCGACAGTCCTCCAATCCGCGACTTTTAACGCGCTGCGAAAGAGCCAAGCACGTCAGACTGGCTACAATTAGGAGTGTGAAGAAGGATTTCCAGGGATCTGTCTCACTTCTTCTCTTTCCTTTTTACCGATGAGCCCTCTATACAATGGATGGCATGCTGAGTCACGTCAAACGTGCATCACGGACATTTAGAAGCAGTTATCAAAGCTAGTGTAGACTCAGCTAAGCGGGACATGAAGAAATGCATTCCCAGTTGTGACTTAACGCAGCCGCGGCGCAATTCATTTGGAGGACGGTATTGTCAGCAGATTACACGCTAACTAACAAACTGGTAAAACGATAAGACTAAAAACTCCTCCTTGAGACAAGCATGTAGGCGTAAACCTAAACACGCAGGTCAAAAAGTGCACGATCCAGGAGAGTAAAATAGCTCAGAGAGAAATAGGGTAGCTTGAGCGAAATTAATGCAATCAGGTGTGAGTGAAAAACAATGAAGTAAAATAAAGCTAGAAGTAGTTCTTTTGACAGACGTCACATCCATTTTTAACTACTATGGGAAGCCCGTGGTTAGTCCGAGAGACAAAAACTTGACGCTATCTAGAGGAAATAAATCGCCACAGGACAGCAGATAAGGACACAATCCACTCTCCCACAAATATGAGGCGGGGTAAATGCATAGACTCCTCGGTCGGATACTCGGAGAACAGTCGCTGTGTAATCTATTATTAGCAATGGATGCATTGTAGGGAGAACATACTTAGCGGCCGGGCAAACTCCATAGAATTTTCTTTGCAAGTATGGATTCGACTTTTGCGAACCCTAACCTGCATAATTGCAAGTCAAGTTCAACAAAGGTAGGCGTAATGGGTCGCTGAAATTGGAATGCTATGTAGTCTATAAAGTGGACATCCAAAAAGGAAGACACTTCAGTGCAGTAACAATAAGTAGCAAGAATTTGCGTTAATGCACCAAAGCATCTTACTGCATGTCCTAAGAATGCACAGGCGCTTTCGCAAGCAATGCATCTCAAACAAATTCCAAGGATATTCATTTGGGAGCCATGATGCGCAATTTCTCGAGGGTCTTGAGACCAGAATTCGAAGTTGTCAACGGTGCAGAACTAAGTCACGCGTAACTAGTGTTCGCCGATCCAGTCTGACTGTAGGACCAAATACTCGTGTTTGGATTAACGTTACAGACGCAGTTATACTGCAAAGAAAACCCAAAAGCGGAAAAATGCTAGCGGCAGATAAAGTTTGACAGCATAAGCTATTTCCGGCTAATCTATCGTCGGTAATCAGCCATAACAATCTCAGGTCGGAAAAAGCCGAGAGTTGAACCCGGATCCAATTGGAATGGATGGCATTCCAGATGATTTATTTACTCACATGCTGCGTTTGCAATCGAAGATACCCAAAAAGACAAGAGCAGCGTTCTCCATTCTTCGTGGCCAATCACTATTAGAACGGAGAGCGTCGCCGAACAGCTCTCCTCTAATGCATGGTTTATGGTGGCTCAGAAAGCGAAACAGTAAAGTTTCAATAAGATCCCACTGTAAATTTCGCCAGCAAGGGAAGTGCATTCACTGTTCTAAAAATTCTAACTCATAGTAGGAAGGCAAACGCAAATAGCTAGTTCAGATAACTTCAAGGCTTGCCTCATTCCTCACATGCTTTCGTGGAGCAAACAAAAGTGCCCAAAGTCAACATTCAGTAGTGGGTGAGAGAACAATGGTTTCTGTGAGAAGTTGGTGTAAAAAACAGCACTAGATCCGCGCATCCAGTAGATATTAGTAATTGCGTAAACGACAACTGAGTATGCCCCAGCACCTGAAATGCCGGAAAAGTAACCCAGCACTGTGAGTAACCATACCTTTAGATACTCTTCCTGGAGCTTCCGAAAGCCCGGCATCAGTTCGGGCAGTGCACCGAAATATTCGCCTAAGCGACGGCGCAATATGTCAGGGCGAGAAGGGTGCGAGTCAGCGGTCTTTACAGTTCAAAACTGTATGACAGACGCTCGAATAGGATTTGAATAATAAAAATGCTACTAGTTCGAAGTTTCCAGAGGCAAAACGCCTAATGCTAGTCACACCTCGAACCTATGTGAACGGATAGTTTTGGGGGAAGGTTCAAATACTTTTCATGATGCCTTCAGGTCAACAACGTCGATACGAGCCAAATACGTCCGGCAAATCGAATGTTCGTTTTTACATTGTCTTGTCCGTTAGGAAGAGTTTATGCAGGATTACGGATCTTCACTGACGTAAACGTAGGTCTACTCTCACCAGCCTCCTTGATGCCCTGCGTTATCCGTACAGTGGGTCTGGGTGGATGTACACACGTCCTACTTTTACAGACTGCCAGTACCAAGGAGTCATTAACCATCCAGTCCCTGACAGATGGTGTGTGTGGTGTTGTGATTTAAGACAACAGCATTGACCATATGGAACAACTGTCATAAAATTTGCTCAGGTCATCGTAACCGCCCTTCTCAGATGACTCTATACCCTGATAGTGTTGTCTAAACCACTGCAGACCGCCTCGAGTCTAAGAAGAATTCTTTATACTTCACCTGAAGGACTGTTCTCAGGCAACACTGGTCAAAAGATCCCCGTTTTAGATCGCATTCTACATGCACAGTACGACATCCAATGCTTTCAAAGGCGAACTGGATAGAGGTTCAGTAGACACAGGTAAGTGTGACAACGGCATACAGCCTTCGCAGGACAGAAAACGGCCAACAATAACGACTCCAGAGACGTTGTTGTCCTTATGTTGTCAGTTGTAGTGTCCTTGTTCGTGACAGCCGTTAACCAGTAAGTGTAGTTTTTCTAACTGCGAAATGTAACTTCGGTTTCCCTAACTTGTACGAATAAAATAACAGGTTCGCAGAGATCGTTTGCCTGAGATCTCAATAACCATGTGAACTTTGAGATGTTAACCTAGTTGAGTTGGTCCGTAGTTGAGGTAAGTCAGTCGTCCTTCAAGAGTTGCTTCAACAGGAGAGCAGCCAACAGTTAAAAGGATGAACTCATTGTGGGAGAATGACCTATTACTCACAAGAACTTACCCGTGATCATCTAAAAACAACTAGTTTTCTGTAAGAGCGGGACCCGACGGAGTTAGACTCGGTTAGGACAAGTGAAGCCGTACAAACACAGACCGACTTCATGTTCATCTGGTACAACGCTCGAGGGAACTGCGGCCCCATTGTGGTATGCTAAAGACCGGAATCTTGGTGTACCATGTCATACGCTGCGTTAAAACATTCGTAATATACGGGTACTGACACTGGTAGTGTTGGGCATAAGTAGAGGTGCTATTTGCGACGGTAATGTGCCAAGCTAGGAGCACACTCATCCGAGTGAACAGTACATCACAACATAAGCGCAAACGATTCAAAAACGACTGCAAGGGGCACAGTGGTATGGCTAAAAAATCTACTTCCTCCTGATGTTGCCAATGACTGACAGAAAACGCATTAACCGCAGATTTCGAACCTGGCTCCTGCTTAAAATTATGTAAGAAAAGTGCAGCCTGAAGAAGTCGACTGCAGTTCTGATAATCTAAGATCTGACAGCTGCAAGAAACCTTTGTTAGCTAAACTTAATTCAAATTCCAGAAGACCTACTTTGATACCTGTTGTTGTTGCGTCGTTACGAGCCCACAGGCACACGAAGCAAGGCACTTGACGTCAGGGCGCGCCGTAGGCCAAAATTCGGTCACCATTAGCCATTACTCTGGCAGCGCCTAGAATGACCTACCAGTGCAAGGTCCTTCCAGCTGTATGAGACAGCTCACGTCGGCTCACCTACATTCAAAATTCTCTAAAGCGACGGCCGTCAGCTATAAGGGTTCTTCCAAACCGCCTACGGCACCGCCTACACTCCGCTGAATATATTATTCACTATCGGCAAGGCTGCGCACAGCATGAGAGACAAGCGTAAGACCCGTGCCCTCCCTCAGGTGACAGTTACGTGGCGGTCTGCAGATGGTCCTTGTAAGAGACTCGTTACAAAATAAGAGTGCTCAGTCCTGAGAAGCAGGCATAACCCGTCAGCAACAACGGTGGCTACAGAGAAGGATGCTTCTATTTTGAATACACTTTTCCAATGAGTTGTGGCAGTATCTGATGGCACCATTGTGCCACGCAATTCCCATGTTATAGACAAATAAGTCCCTGCTCGGTGAGGCTGATTTTATGAATATGATATCAAGCGAAGTTTGTGCAAAACGAAACTACCGAAGGGGCATTGTATAGATACTTGCTATCTACGTCATATGTACACATACCTCATCGTTACTTGGGAGCGGTACAAGCAAACACTTATCTGTACTAGATATGTGCTTAAGAAGTTTACTTTAGACGTAATCGAACTTCCGCAAAAACTTAGTGGTTTCAACTATTCGTGCGAGCAAGGATATGGCTTACTGTTGTCGGCATACAGACGGAACGCGAAATGTGCGATTTAATCGCAGGGGAAACATGCCCAGGCGCTCACTGAGACGTATAATGAGAAACAGTGATGGATGAAAACGAGCCCAAAAGTAAAATCGCACCCGAAGGAACGGAGTACAGAAGACGAAAGAGGGCGAAAAGCAGCTATGTATTTACCCAAAACAATTTTAGCAAGGAGGTTGACGATATCGAAGATGACAAGTACTAATCACAAACCCATTATAAATGTTCCTGAGGAGTCGCGGATTCAGACAGAAACAGGCCTCTCGAGTCAATGCTGGTGGTAGGCCTTCCTCTTAGTTCTCGCATTTTCGTTGCCTGCCCACTGAAGAATCATGTATGTGATAATAAATGCTGAAGTGTGTCAATTAATTGTGCGAAGCTTACGAGGCGCAACAATAAAGAATTTTTCCCTGAACCTTCTCACAAGGTTCGGAAAACCTTTTGAAAAGAAACCTGAGAAGGCATTAACTTCGTATGGCGAGATGCTATATGTTATTACGCCCCGGCGGTAGTGCAATTCCCCAAACTTCATTTTCAGAGGCGACGATCTTACCCGCTTATACTGCAGCGCACTCAAACGAGAAACTCGAGTTCGGTAATCTAAGGCTTGACAATGGTTTACAGCTAACTTAAAAATCCGAGTAACCTAACACGACAGCGACCATCAACAAGGGCCTTAGTGTGTAATAATCCTGACAATTACGCAACTGCAGCTCAAGTGTATGGGCATCTATAAGAAGATAACTGGCGAAAATAGCTGATTCCATGATAAGCAGGAGCCAGCAGCAGAGGAGTTATCTGGATGAGTCGAAAAGTAGCGTGAGCGATAAAAAGTACCCAGCAAGAATCTGTGCTTCTCTAATAGCAGGGCAAATGGCATGCAAATAACTAGCAACGGTTAGAAGTGATGTAATAAAGACAGTCGCGGAGAAATATATAAGTGTAATCAATTTGTCTACCAAAATAACATCCTATAAAACAGCGAGCAACAATCCTCGAGGACCTGCATTGCCCACAAAACTTGTTTAATTACTAGATCTGTTGAAATGAATTAGAAAAGAAAATAGTAATGAGGAGGGTGTATAAAGCAAAATGGGGAGAACCAACTTACTCTCTTTGAAAACGAAATGAGCAAAGCCAAATTTGCTACAAAGAAGGCGAAAGCACGGCAGACAGTCACGGACAGCAGAAACGTGCAAGATGTTAAGGAGAAAATTTAGGCCACAAAGAATGTGTTTGATGATGCGATGGGTAGCGCGTGGTTTTTTTCACCATACTACTCGGCGTCGTGGATTTCTCTCTCAAACACAGGCAGAAGTCTTCTGGTGAGGATGTCCCTCAGTTGTTGTCATAATAAGAGACGTAACCATTTTAAGCGCTTGCAGTCTCAATATTACCATACTTGGCCAATATACATAGGTTGAAATACTTACAAAAAGTGTAAGATGCAAAAAGCAGATATTCCCTTTTCTATTGGCATGGGAATATCTGCTTTATTTGTCCCCCTATCATGGGCTGTAGAGAACTTGAATGGACGGTAATTGGCCCAAGTCGAAGGGTCGTTTGTTTTCACTTTTTGTACATCTGACTAGTAATTCAACATGTGTGTGCGTCACTATGCTCCATTATGAAAATCTGTGGTAATTTACTGCGGGCATGACCACGTGATCAACTGTTATTATTCCACCACCGCAGCGATGGTTTTCGCTGTTCTTGATGTCATTTCATATCGACCCTGAGCGGTCTGTCGACGCTCAAGGCGAACTCCTCTGTATTCACCATTTGCTGGTTGTTTGGTCGATCAGCAAATAGATCCCATGTTATTATCTTCCTTGGCCCCTCCTTGACCAGATTTGAAACGGACTGTGAACGTTCGCGTCTGGGGTCCCCTCGTCTAGCCACTTTGACAAGAATAGCTTCATCTGGTGGATGAATTCTGATTTGACGATGTCTATATCGAATCCCGTATACTCTACCGCATACAGTTCATTCCTGTCTGATCTATACGCTCACCCTTTCATGAGTGAAATTTTTCTGCCCTGACTATGTCCGTTTGGGATCTGTTATACGCTACTACATACAGGCAGATCCTGTCCGCACTCCTATCCTTTAGTGAGCGTCAATTTCCCTCTTTATGGTTAATCTAACTACATTCATTTTGTTTATTAGGTAAGTGCGTTTTTCACTGTTCGCTAGTCATTCTTCTGAATAAATCGCCTATGCAGAAAGTATGAATTGAATATTCTGGAGATTCCGTTCGCTTATCCTAAAATTCACATGACAATTTATTTTTACTTGCTGTGATGTGACCCCAGTGTCTTTAACAAAACGTTTATCTGTCGTCGCTCAATCCCCCACGTACGCATGTACCAGACATAAACAACTTCCACATACCACATCATCGGCACACTACATGTAAGTAAGAATTGTGCTTTTCAGTTTCTTTTTCTATGTATCTCAGCTTTGAATTTGATTACGCTGAGTCGTCGAATGCATTCACGCGGGCTCAGAGCAACGGTAGTGAGGGTGGGCGCCATAGTGGTATGCGCGGGATTCGGGTGGGGACAATCGTGGAGACAGCAGTTGCGGTTGCCTGGCGGTTGGTTCATTGGGTCCGAAGATGACCGACGAGACCGATACCCGCGTAGAATGTTCGTCGAGAGCGCTAACAGGTTTAGTGGGGTTGAGTGAAAATGTTGCGGGTTAGTGGCGCCTGATACTTGCAAGAATCGACCTGGGCTTTTTCTTTGGCGATACAGTTTGCTTTGCAAATTGTTGCGCCAATCTTTACTGCTTTTCGTCAGGCCGATGTGTTGTGGGTAGAGACCTCCCAAATCTCCGGGTTGACCTTCAGCCCCTTCAGAAACTTCTGTATAATGTCATTGTGGCAGCTTTTTGTTCCCTCGGTCTGCTTGCACATGTAGCGACATCTCAGTAGAATAGTCGTTTGGGCAACGCACACTGTCCATTCTCCCCAGGTAGCCGCTTCATCACATTTGCAGTTGTCAGCGTGATGTGGACGCTGAGAATTCCTTTCCGGTTCAGGACTTCTTGTCCGGGATTCTGTTTTGCCATCTTAACCTCAGTACCCTGCGGAAGCGGCCGAGATGGAAGTGGCTAAACTTCCTAGGATGGCTGGAGTAGACCATCCAGGTATCCGCTCCCCACAGCAGTGTCGTCAGGATGACGGCCTCGTTCACCCTCAGTTTGGTGTGCAGATGGATGTCATGGCGGTATCGTTTGGAGTTCAGTAGCCAATCGAAGGTTTCGCTGACCCTGGAGGTCCAGTGAAATACTTCGTCGCTCATTTTGATACAGCAAAAAAGTGCGCTGACTAAGCACGCAAAGTTGTTCATGACCATTAGTTTGGTGCTTTGCCATGAATGCAAAGAACACTATGGAGCGTCTGGTGGTGGCTGGCGCATGACACCGGCTTTGTCCGCGTTAACGGTGTTGGGCGTGTAGGCAATCCCAAATCAAGAGCCAAACAATCACTGGAGGTCAGGCACGACTTCTCTAGCACACTGTTAGGCCGCTGCAACATGATGGTAGCGCCTCGTCATTGGCCGCTTTTCCCAAACCTGACCGTTTCCTGTATGCGAGAACTCGATAAGCTCGACCGGAATTTTCATCTCGAAGCGCATTGGGCTAAATGCTGGCAAAGCCCAATAGGGTGTTTTAAATACGCGTTATCTTTCCAGTAAGAACGATTCGCAGGTTCCTAATACATTTTCGTGGCCGGTCGTGTTCTCCTTCTCCGCCGTGTCGGTATTGGGGACAACAGCCGAGTTCGCATATACTTCGCGGGATTTCTTAGCACCAGACCAGGCGATAACTGGTGGTCAATCCGGAGGTGACACATCCGGCGGCGAAGAGTTCCATACTCTCATGCATATCTTCTTGGGTCGTGATGTTGAGTGCGCAGCCATCCGCGAACAGCAGATCGTGAAGTGTAGTCGTGGAGAGACGCGCTGAGGCCCGCATGCGACGGTGGCTGAGAAGATTTCCGTTGGTCCTGCAGGCAAAGCGAGTCCCGGGATTCATCGCGGCAGGCTGCCCTATGCATGGCAGAAAACAAAAGATTGAATAGGACAAGGGCAGGTACGCAAAACTGCCTCACTATGCTAGCTTCTGCGAACTCTTCAGGAACGGTCCCGCTGTCCGTGACGTGTGCCATCGACTCATCCCGGAGCTAACATATAATATGCGTGATTCATTCAGGACAGCCGAATTTCTGCATTATTTTCCACAGTGATTCGGATTCACCGTGTTGAAGGCCTTTTTCAAGTCCGTGGAGTTAGTGTAGTATAGTTGACAGGTGGTGTAGAAAGATCGTGTCGGCGGTTCAGCCATGACGTCGGAAGCCACAGTGGCCATCCATCAGAAGTCTTTGTTTGAGATGGCCACTGATACGATAGAGGAGCATGAGAGCGAAGATCTTCTGGACGATGTTGGGCAGGGAGATTTCTCTGTAGTTATTACAAAGCTGTCGGTTCCGCCTCCGTTTGTAGAGACGAACGGTTGTCACATATTTAAAATCCTGAAGGACTTATCTGTGGCGTCGCATCTCCTGGATTGACGTTGTGATTTGGTCCATGAGCTGGGCCATCGTATTTGTAAACTTTAGCCAGAATTGCGTCGGATTCAAGTACTTTCTCTCTGGACAGGTGGTGCACGGCGCGGATTGTTTCTGACAATGGAGGCGGTAGATCAATGTCGTCAGTCGTTTCCACTTCAGACAAACAGTCGATGGCGGTGTCGGAAATAGTAAAGGAGTGATTTAAAGCGATTATGAAGCGCTCCGCTCAAGGCCTCTGGATATGTGATTTCTCCGTCATACCTGGGAAGTTACGCGGTTCCTTTTGTTGGGGGTTCGTAGATTTCCCAAGGTGATGCAAAGAAGTTCTTGGTTTCATTGCAACTGGGACAACCATGGACTTCCCTGATCTAGCAGGTCATCCGGTGATTCTGAATTCCCTCCGCCGGGGCTGTGCGATGTGGCGATAGCGGAAGAAGGCTACCCTGTTTGTGACGGTCCGATGATTTATGGGCTTTATGCCGCCGGTACATCTCAGCGAGCAGCCAACTGATGTCTCCGTCGTTGTCGTCAAACCAGTCCTGCTGTTGGTGACGTGCGCGACCGAGGACGTCTAAAGCAGTCGTTTGGACAGAAGTTTGCACTACCGAGTCTTCACGATGGCGGTGTTGTCTGCGGTCAGGCGTCCCTCTAGGTGCCGGGTTAATTGATTGCTGACATTTAAATGGTGAGCTGTTTGAAACAACATAGAGGTATTTAACTTGCCTGGTGATCGCTTACTTGTGGTCTCCTGCGGAGTTGCAGCCAAAGTATCGCCTTGGAAATTACGAGGTGGTGACCGGTCCAATCATCGCCGCCGCAGATCGCCTTGGTCATCAGCGCGTCTTTTCGATCTTGCTTCTGGACGAGAACGTAGTTCGGCAACTGTCAGCGCCGCAATTCGGATGCACTCAGACTGCCTTATTCCGCGTCGGCAGGCCGAAAAAGGCGTTGGCCAGGAGAAAGCGGAGCACAACGCATATTCGTGGGAGGATGTCTTTGTCGTTACAAGCGCCGACTCCACAGAGACCCAACACTCTGCTTTAGACAGGACAATCTGTCCCGACGCGGTCGGGAAATCGCTAAAGACCACCAGCTTGTCCGTCTTTGGCACAGTAGCCAGGGGAACTTGCAGGGCTTTGCCGAACATTGTCGTGTCGTCGGAGCTGGTCAGTGTGTAGGTAGAAACACTGAAAATGATGGCGAATTAGGATGCCTAAAGAGGCAGGAGAAGTTTATTGGTCGGTCGTTGGTGTCCTGCGACAAAAAACCTTCCAGAAATTTTATTCATCCGTATTGCGTTTCTGAGTTTTCCTCCCTATCTCGTACTAGCCAAACTTCCTCCGTATCGCTGGTAACCTTGGTTCCCTCCAACTCTCCAACTAATTAGATTTTTCTTAATTCAAGTGGATTTTGTCACTTTATGACCTTTCCGAAAAGCCGCAGTCGCTCACTTTTGCCAGGGCGTCGTATTTAAGGGTCAAATATTCGCGAACCCTTAGAGTTACAGTCAGCATCTAAGGCACAGAGAAGCGACTTAGTCCAAAAAGCCGGATGTCATCCCTCTCGTTCCTATGTTAGGCCAACCAAATTGACGTAGCGATAAAACCGAATAACCCAAATAATACTCCAAGGAAGTTTTTGTTTGATTTGTAACAGACGGACATCATGACCGGTCTGGCGCCATTGTTCCAGACCTCGCTGCCTCAAGGTCATTCATCCCTTTCAGCGAGCCGTCCCAGACGAGGTGACCTGAAGTCACATAACCAACAGCTCGGGCATACCTGCGTCCGCTCAGTCGCAGCTGCCCATGCGGCCACTTGAACGCGCCACCCCCTGCAACCAGCAAAACAAGCCACTGGGACACCACCCCCTCGGCAAATGCAACACACGCTGACTGGACACCACTTGAGCTTGGCCCACGAGCCTACAAAAGCGGCTGCCACCACTATCTCAAGGACTCTCAGGCCTGACTGGACGCAGTCAACACCAGCCCCGGTTCATATGTAAACATTTCACCTTAAATGCACTAAGAATACAACTGTTCAAAATGTATGTTTTACCTCTCCGAGATTGCTGTTCAATTTTCTTCGGCATAATGCCCTCAGACGGCCGAAAGAAACTAGAAGCCATTCAGAGACGTTTTACTAGATCTTTGTCTAGAAGTGATGGCATCCAGGGTTCATACTTAGAACTATATCATAAATACGATCTTCGACCACTCTGGATCAGAAGACTTCAAAATGGTCTAAACTTCCTATTCAAGGTCACCCACGATCAAGATATTCTCGAAGTGAATTTACTTACCAACCAAAACGCCCCTAGAAACACCAGAAATAGCGAGGATATTATAAGGATTCCCAAATTCGCAAAGTCCCAACGGTCAAATTTCTACTCCATAAGATATGCGACTATCTGGAATTCTCTTCCAAGTTCTATCCGGAAAAGTCGAACCGTAATCGAGTTTAAAATAAAAACTAGGAAATTCCTTTCAAATAACAATACACATTTATTTTTGAATAAGATAGGACATTTTTCAAGTCAATTCTTTGATATTGAATTTAGTCCAAAAGGGCTCTGATGATGCCAGCCGATTGAAAAATACCGGAACATAGCAGTAAAAATAATCAAATTTGTAAAAGATAGCGTCATTGATAAACATAGAACAGATAATGTCAGTTTAAGTCAGTTTATTAAGGGAATGAGGCTTTCGCCCTTGAGCACCCTATTCATGTCGATAAACAGAAATAAAGTCATCAATTACATCAGCAAATGCGAAACGTTAAGAAGTTAGCGGTAACTGTGAGCCAGGCGCAAACTGCCGCCGCTAAAACAATCATGATTGTATGTACAGTAGGTTCTCAACAAGTGAGCGTCTAGTCTGCACTTAAAGGATTTAACACTTTCGGAAAGAACGACGGCATCAGGAAGTCCATTCCATGCCCCGATGACCCTGTGTGAGAAGGCGTTCCCTCGGACGTCCGAATGAGCCCGCTTCCTTTGCAGTTTGAACGGATGACCACGCAGACGGTCAGTCCGGGCCAATTCAAAGAAGTCATCAAAATCTAGGGCACACTCACGGCTTCTGACAATCCTGTAGGTTTGAATGAGATCGCCGCGCAGTTGCCTGTAATTTAGAGGAAACAGATTTAGTTCAGTCAGCCTGGTTTCGTAAGGCAAATGATGAAGATTCTTGACCATCTTCGTAGCCATCGCCTGTACTC